ACTTCAGACTCGTGTTTATTTGCATGGTGACACTTATTATTATATGGTCATTTAAAATGTTTTTATATGTGTTTCAGCACAATTTGTACCTTATTGGTTTCAGTGTTTTATGTACCTTTAATAGATCTCTTCTGCGTGATCTGAAGATAGGGGAATTTAGAGTAGACTCAGAGCATACAGACTTTATTAGGGAAAATTTTAGGGTACTTCTAAAGGGTTATTAAATGGAATTAAAAGCTAAATCTAATTTGATGCTAAATTCTGAAATGCATGCATATGAAAAATCTTCAAAAATTTATGGACATTGTGTATTATAAAAAGTAAAGTAATATTTGGCTTTTACATTTTCTGGACTAGAAAAATTGACTTCTAATTAAATTTTATATATGAAATTTTTGAAGTACAGTTTCCATTTAGAAAAATGCAGATTTGGAGTGGCGATAGATTCAGTGGAGGGAATAATGATTTTGTAGGTGAGAGAGCACATTGCCAGTGTAGAGTAAAAATTACTGCAAGGCAGAAATAACTGTAAGAACTCTTGCCTGGGGTAATGACTAAGATGAAAAGGGATATGAAGTATCGTGTGTCTATTTCGCTATTGAATGAAGAAGGGAATTGGAACGTGCACTCGGGTTGTTGGAATATCCCTCAGAAAATTCAGAGACAATCTCCAAGGATTTATAAAATATTTGGCATTGGACCAGAATCTCCATACCCTTTACATATATTCAATATGGAGTTTTTCTTCGCATTCTAATTCTACAGAGTGATTTTCTCTTTTATATAATGCACATCTGACACAGTTGGGAGACTGTAGGATACAAATCCCAGGAAGACCTTAACTTTCCTTCCTGCTCTTTAGAAGAGATGGGAATATAATTATGGATTTATTTTCTAAATAAAAAAGGCAAACAGATTTGGGTTGATGTCACATAAGGAAGGAAAAATTGCCAGTATTCCTCTTTGGAAAGCCATTTTTAAGACTGTAAGGAAAGCATTTCACTAGGAATTTAAATTTGAGTTCTTAGAAGAGTCAGAAGAGAATGCATCCATGTGGGATTCATCCATTATACAATGAAGATATTGCAACCGATGATCTCTAAATACTCCATCAATTTCAGAATTCAGCAATTCAATGATTCTGAATATTTATCACACTAACTTGAGAGTAACTAACTGACAGGGTGGCTCAGCATGGTGATCAATGGCTGCCGGTTCATGTCCCAGCTGCTCCACTGCTGATCCAGCTCTATGCTTATGTCTTGGAAAAACAGCAAACAACTGCCCAGGTTCTTGGACCCCCGCACCACCACTTCAGATTAACAAAGCTCTGGCTATTACAGCCATTTGGGGAGTAAACCAGCAGATGGAGGATCTTTCTCTGACTCTCCTTTCTGTAAATCTGCTTTTCAAATAAAAATAAATAAATCTTTAAACACACACATGGGCAATCTTTGCTTCAGATGAGATTATAATAAATAATATTTTAGGTTAAAGGTCAGGCTAATACTGTGTCTCGGGGTTAGACCTGCGAGCAGGCCATAAGGTCACTGAGGGTGAGACAGATGGTAGTCTTCATCCAAAGAAACACAGAAGAAAAGCTGGTGAAGAGTATCCACTTCAGCATGCACAAATTACAGCTTTTAAACATCAAAGAAGGGCAGGGCAGGAGGGCGTCTTGTGGCAGCCCTCCCACCCACCAAAGACACTGTAATTGGATACAAGACATGTCTATTCCCCTGACCTCCTAGTCATATTGGAAGTCTGCTCCATATGTAGGCCTGGAATCTGTACCTCAGATCATAAGCTCTAAGCCACGCTCACCAGGTAATACTTAGCGACATGGAAGGGATTGCCCACAACTGTGTACACTCTATTCAATTCCATGGCCTTATTAATTATGGGTGGTTTCAAATAGGTGATACTTGATAACCACTTATTATCTTGTAATCAGTAGTTATTTGGTATATATAATAAACTAGTAGTAATGGTTGCTTCTTTGAAACAAAAAAGTAGAAATTAAAGAGTTATTATGGTTTTATAATTCTCCAAAAATATTAAACTGTTCAAGCAACTATGAAATGTTTTCTAATATGTCTATTGAAATACAAATTACACAAAGCCATAAAGCAGTGAAAGTGTAACCACATTCCAAATAATCACCTGCGTCATTTCATTCACGTTTCTTCTGCTTGTTCCCAGCGAGACATTAACTTTGGTTTTGTCATATACTATTCTTCCTCAGGCACAATTTGGAATGTGGATAATTCAATGTTTTAATTTCATTCATGACAAAAACAGAATCTAAATGATGTACTTTGAGAACCAGAAAATAAAATCACAGGCATACTTGAAGAGCAAGCGGTGTTATTTAATCTGAAGAAGCATTCTTGAAAAGAAACTTGTAACAAGTGTTACAAGTGACCATAACATTATCAACTACTGAGGGAAGTTTGGCTTTGAAGAAAGAAGAAAAAAAAAATAGGTGATTCCTACCCTAATTTTAAGTGCATGCTAACCGCACGTTAAAGAGGCACCACTTGTATGTATATACTAGAGACATACTTTAAAAAAAAAAAATCTAACAATTAGAATGTACCTGTTTGGCCACAGGGTTTGGGTGGAGGGAGCCCTCAACAGAGCGGCAACTGCTGAGGGTGCCTGAGCCAGGTCAGACTCAATGCTTGGGACTCTGGCCATGGCCACTGATGCCATATGGTGAGCGAGTCCTGGGCTTTGGGCAGCCATTGCATGAAGTGGCATCAGGCTCTGCCTGCTCTCTGCCTGGCGGCAAGCTCTAGAGTCTTTGGAGTATGTAATTGCTGCTTAGGGACATCCATGGATAAGTCCAATGCGCATGTAGGTGAGGAATTAATCCTGTGTGACTCTGAGCAATGGAGTCAATGAACTTGCAGGCAAGTGTGGGGACCAAGATCAAGTGGTTTGGAGGGGAGAGTCTGTAAGATCTGTTTGGGTCAGACTGATTCACCAGCTCACATGGGAGTCCTGGGATCGGCTGTTAGCGCAGAACACCGCTGACTGCTACATGCCAGCCCACACAAAACTATGGCTGAAGGCTTGTTTTATAGGGCTAGATCCCAGTACCTGACTGAGTGTTGGAACAGGGGATGGGTCACATTAGTCAAGGTCGTGACACTAACCAGCATGTGAGAGAACCAGATCCAGGGGTAGATTCTGTGGGGATGTGTGGGCCAAACCCTGTGGAAATATAAGTCCCACTGGTTAGCTTAAAAGTTGGGATGGTGATGGGTTGAGTTAGGAGTGACAATGGAACCCACTCATGGTTGCTGGGGCTGGAAACAGGCTGCACAGATCCCAGCTGCAGCCGCTGTACATGCATTCTAAAACAGGGTGTGAGGTGGGCAGGACCACGACATCCTCCATCCCATACAAAGGCCAAGATAGAGTGGAAGGCTATGTTAGGCACCCACCAGCCAGTGGTGGGACTTTGGGTAGGCTGGGGGAGGCCAGGCTTCAGTGTGCATTGGTATGCGTGAGAGCGAATGGGATGTGGGACAGACTGGACCTACTGTTTATACTAGCAAGTGTGGGAGCCAGGGTCTGGGGAAGGTTATTAGGAGTCATTCCAACTAGGCTGCAACTCCCACTGATTTGTGTGTTCAAGAGTGTGGTGGGCAGGATAGGAATGGGCTCCAAACCCATTGGTTTGTGTAGAAGACAGAGCTGGAAACAGAACTGACCCAGCAATTGCAACCACCAGCATATACATAGGTTGATAGGGGCAACGGACTGTGCCAGACCCTGTACTGGCAAGCACACACAAGAATCTGTTCTGGGATCATTTCACATGAAGTTTCTTTGGGGATCCCCCCGGTCAAACTGCCAGACTCAGAATTCCAACCATGAAGAGAATTGCAGGTTCCATGATCTGACCATGGTCTGTGTGTATTAAAGCTGAACCTCCTCAATGGCTGAGACAGAGCAGTAGACAGCATATCCAGGTGCACATGGAGGATACGGTAGTACATTGGAGCCTGCAGAGGACAGCTGGTACTACAACAGAGGACAGAACAAATTGATCAAATACCCCAGCCATGTGTTGGCAGTGAAAATCTGGGCAAATGGAGATGCTAAGGTGAATTATGTCACTCAGTGGATTCTGAAGATTTCATCGTGTTTGGAATGACAAGACTGGCAGCAATTCAGAACAGCTGACCTATCAAAACTACTTGAGCAGTGCCTGAGAGCATGCCCCACATTGGGGACCCTGGGATGGTTGAGAGGGTGGGTGTGGCTTCTCCCTTTGTCTCCCCTTTCCCCCCCCACCCCCCAGGATACAAAAAGGAAAAAAGAGAATGTAAAGGGTCTGGCGGCGTGGCCTAGCAACTAAAGCCCTCACCTTGAACATGCCAGGAACCCATATGGGCACCGGTTCTAATCCGGCAGCTCCACTTCCCTTCCAGCTCCCTGCTTGTGGTCTGGGAAAGCAGTTGAGGATGGCCGAAGGCTTTGGGACCCTGCACCCATGTGGGAGACCCGGAAGAAGTTCCTGGATCCTGGCTTCGGATTGGCATAGCACTGGCCGTTGTGCTCACTTGGGGAGTGAATCATTGGACGGAAGATCTTCTGTGTCTCTCCTCCTCTCTGTATATCTGACTTTCCCATAAATAAATAAATAAATAAATAAATAAATATTTAAAAAAGAAATAAAACCCAGGTTTGATTTAAAAAAAAAAGAGAGACAGAATGTAAAAACAATGGTCTTACCCACTTTCTTGTAGCTCTTGACCCTTTGAGCCCTAAACAACTGTGTAAAGGCCATCAATAAATAATAAATAAATAAATAAATAAATATTTAAAAATTCAAAAATAATAAATACATCAACTTAAAACATGAAAATATATAAATATATTCCTCTTTTAGTAGTGCAAAACCAAATATCTTTGTGCGTGTCTGTGTGTGCTTCTCTTACCATCTCTGTATTACCTAAAGAAAATTTTTTTAAGAAGAAAGATTAGTGTTTGCTTAGGCAGCACATATGCTAAAATTGGAACAATACAAAGAAGATAAGCATGGATCCTGCGCAAGGATGACATGCAAATTCATGAAGCATTCCGTATTTTTTAAATAATAAAAATAAATAAATAAATAAATAAATAAGAAAGATTAATAGCCTCAGAGTTAATCTACTTAATCTATCACTAACTGGAAAGACATAGCAATTATTAACCACCATCATTTTTAAAATTATATCTCTAAAATAATTTCTTAGAATATCAATGTAGAAGTAATGAAAGGAAAATATACACTTTTACTATATAAAATAAAATACTTTATTCTGGTTGTCAACGTGTAGAATCTGTTATCTTGGGAATTTCATTCAGAAAACAACTGTTCATGTATTAATGTTAGTTTCCAAAGAATACAAAGAGGTGATTTTTTTCTCAAAGATTTCTTTATGTAAAGTGAGACTTACAGATAGAGGGAGGAACAGACAAAATGAGAGAGATATTCCATATACTGGTTCATTCCCAATTGCTTGTAGTGACTGGACTGGACTGAAGACAATAGGCTGGAGCTTCTCGATGTTTGATTTAGGATACAGAGACAAAAGCACGTAGTCACCTTCTGCTGCTTTCCCCGCTGCACTAGCTGGAAGTTGGATCATGAATGGAGCACAGAGGACTCAACCCGGTGCCTATACAGGATTCCAACGTTGCAGGTTGCAGCTTTAACCTGCTACAACACTGGTCCAAGAAATGAATCTTAAGTGATGCGTAAAAAAAAAAAAATGCTTTCAAGGAGATTTATTGAAGTCCACAGAGTGTTGAGGAACTAATATTTAGAGTTCTATTTGAAAAAATTCGTTTGCCTCAAAACTAGAAGCATCGTTAACCCTGAGATTCACTTCATGCTGGCTTACAATAGTTTGATGAAACCTAATGATGTATTAGAGTAACTCGAAAAGTAAACATATCCTCTGTTGTATTCTATTTTGCCCTTAAAGTTATCAGTATCCTATCAAGTTAATTACAGTTAAATTGGATCTCTAATAGGTATTTTCTCTTGCTGGCAAAAGCAATTTGTTGCTATTTCCATTTAAATGTACAAACCATTCATGCAACAAGTGAGAAAAATATGCTCACAAAAAATGACTTTAGATAATGCAAATACAATCTTAAAACTCATGTTCATCATTGCGAATAATGCTAGGTGATATTTGCATGTTCACATCCCTACACACCTGGTGCTGCATTTGCTTCTGGATCCACATCTGATGTTTTTGGTTCCAGAGTCACCATGTGCCTAGAACCTGATTTGATTATTATCTCCAGTCAGCATTATGCCAGTTCCTCTGCTAAGAACCTTTACCAAAACTCAAAGCATATAAAACAAAACACACACAAACATTTTCCTAAATGTGTCCCCTTATGGTATAAATAACAAATGAAAAACCAGCAAACGGTAAGTGAAAGATGAGTCCTAAATTCGGTGTGATGTCCTTTAATACATGACCCTTTCTTGATATCAAAGAGCTAAGATTAACACAGGAGAAAGCACTCTGAGGAATTTCTTCAGGAATTTTCTTAAAATAAGACAACTCCTCACATCTATTGGGCCTTCTTCATCTTCTTTACACTTTAATTATATCCTCAGTTGTTGCAATCATTTAATAAAGGCAGATTTCAAAATTGGAGAATTTTGTTCTGTAATTTCAGCTCCAGTTCTATCTGCTTACACCTCTGACCCAATCTGTGGCTTTAAAAAAATGTTTTATTTAAAAGAAAAAAAATACGCACATATGAAAGACTAAGTGACAGAGAGTAAGTGTGTGTATGTGAGAATCTTCACTTGCTGATTCACTTTCCAAAATCCCACAACAGAAAGGAGCCTGAAACTGTATCTGGATCGCTCATGATGACAGAAGCAGTCTGAGCCATTGATTCACCACTGTTACCTGTCAGGAGTCATCTGCAAGAAGCTGGAGCAAAAGAGCACAGTAACACATTGAAACCTGTACTCAAAAAAGCAGCATTCCGAGCCTCAGCCTACGTCACTGCACCGTAATACACACCCATGGCCTGGCTTTTACTGTCTGTTTTATCTAAGTATTTTCCAGTTGAGAATTTAAGAATGTGATATACTTCTCTGAATATTCTTTATTTTAGTAGGTCATGTGAGAGTCCTTAGAAATAAGTAAATGAGTCACTTTACTTGAGTCTAATGAGTCACTTTAAATGAGTCTAATGTTTGCTCCTAAAGTGGGATAGAAAGCCACTTGGAAAATCTGAAAAGTTTCTTGAGTTACTATAAGAAATTTTGAAACACCAAGACAGTTTAGATCAACACAAATGAATTTGAATTTTAATATCCTAGCAATGAAAAGCATCCAAGTAGCAACATCATGGTTTCACATATGTTCATCTTGTGCTTTAGAAACCAAGAATTAAGTGTTCTTAGGGAAATACGGAGAGAATTTTGGGGTAAGCTGAGAAATGCACATACTGATTATTCACAAACAAGTCCCATAAATTCAGGGTATGAAAATTGCTGAAGAGCCAAATATATTTTCATTTGTAAGACATATTTTTTTGCTTTGTTGACTCAACACTTCTCCTGTATTTTATACAAATATAAGAAAACACTTTTTAAAAGCTTATTTTTAACTTTAATTTCCTTTGGTTCCTCAGAAAGTATGCAAACTCAACTTCTCCTTTTATAGGTTTACTTCAAAGTTGCACTGGTGACAAAATGAAAATTCCCACAGTACTGGCAATGGCCCAGATCTGCTGATCTAAAAGTAATTCATATCCCAGGAGACAATTTCCTATACAGTATGGTTGGCTGCTAAGAAAAGATGATATGGTTCTGCCCATCAGATATTCAATAAAATAAACAGTTCAGGAGATAAACATTTTGAAGCACTGGATGTAGAAAAGACCTCATTTTAGGTGTGTACTCTTATTGAAAGAAATTTTTTTGTTTGTAACTCTTGATAAATACTCCCATTTTGCTATTGATGCATAAATATATATATATATATGTGTTTACTGATTTATTATGTACATTGTAAGTGATCAAAATATTAGAAAAGATAAGGAAAGAATCAAGATGGCGGAATAGGGTAAGAACAAGTTTAAATGGATGGAGAAACATTTAATCAAGATGAAGCAGAGAGGACACATTCCAGGAAAAAGGAAAGAACAAAAGCAGAGGGGTACCTGGAGACTGACAGACACAAAAAAGCAGAGGACACAATGCTGTGGTGTTGCAGTGACTGATACTCCAGTGGCATTCAGCTAATGGCAATCTGAACTCCACCAGCAGCCAGAACTCCACCAGCAACCAGGTGGGAAGGGATTTTCACTGGGAGCTTGGGAGGTGAGCCAGAACAAATAACTCTCTGTCCTTCTGGTATGTTTGATTGACCAGGAGCAGAGACAGAGCAGCAGATCTCAGATGGGCAGTGTGAGAACAGGGTGGATTTCATAGCCCAGTCAGCCCCCTAGAGCTGAATTGGGCACCATTATGTGTAAGGAAGAAAGGGCAAGAGAAAAGACTGAGCATATGCTGAGCTGGGAGTGAACTCATTTCTGACTCAGTGAACTGCAGCAACATGGCATTCTACAGGTTCCACCCAAGACAAGTCTGGGTAGCCCTCAGACATGATGGCCAGCAGATCAAGAACTATAGTGGTGGTATGTCAGGTGCCATTTTGTACACTGTGGCAATAGCTTTAGGACTGCAGGGGACAACAGTGAACTGCGCATGTGCTGAGCTCAAGAGAACTGACAGAGTTCCATGGATTGCACTAGTCCAGCAGGAAAATAATACTGACTGTGGCATCATACAGATCAAAATAGGTCCGTGTGGCACCCCGAACTAGCGTCCAACAGGTTCCAACAAGATCAGCACCACCAACAACCTAATTAAATAGGACACCTGGTGTCTCTCTAATCCTGGGACCTACTCCAACCAGAAGTGGGAGAAAAGTTGCAGAGACAATGGTGAAGCCTCAGCACGGTATCATAAGAGGTGGAGAGTGGTGAGCCAGGACCTGGGGCTGTGGAGACCACGGTGGAAATCTGACATAAGAATGCAGGCCTGGAATTCGCTGGAGGTTGTGGCACAAGTGGCCATGAGCAAAAAGTTGTGTGCCAACTGCAATAAGTAAATTTGCATTGGAGACCTGTGGATGACATAGCTTAGAACCTGCCCCAAGGAGAAGACTCTGCTAACCAGAAGTACAATGATCACGAGCAAAAGAAGAGACAAACACACAATGAATATTACTGAAAACTCCCCTGCAAAGGAGCAAAACCCTATGCCAAACTCAGAGTTCACTGAGGAAGACATCAAGAAAATGGGGCAAACAGAATCCATAAGACTCATTATAAAGATTTTGATCAACAATGAGAAGCTCATGCAAGAGTTCAAAGAATTTATGGAAGCAATAAAGCACATTAAGGCTGATATATCAGAAATGAAGACCACAGTAGAGCAAATTAAAAGTACAATGGAGAGTCTCCAAAATAGAATGAAGCAAGCAGAAGAAAGAATCTCAAGATTGGAAGATATTTCCTGTCATCAGGGGGAAGCAAACAAAAAGCTGGAAGTAGAGCTGGATCAGGCCTAAATATATTCAATATATATATATAATATATATTATATATATATTATATATATCATATATATAATAATATATATTATTAAATTATATATGATATATATAATTATTATATATAATAAATATATAATATATTATTTTATATATATTATTTATATATATATATAAATTATATTATTTATTATATATATTTAATATAATTATTAAATTCAATATAATTATTCAATTCAATATATACATATTCAATTCAATATATACATATATTCAAGAATTGAAAAACACTATTAAGAGGCCAAATATGAGTTAAGGGAGTCCCAGAAGGTGCAGAAAAAGAAGCTGAGTTTGCAAATGTATTTAATGAAATAATCAAGGAAAATTCTCCTAATCTGGAGAAAGAATTGGGAAACAAGATCCAGGAGGGGCACAGACCTCCCAACAGGCCTGATCAAAAATGATCTCCACGAAGACACATGATCATCAAGCTCTCTTCAATTGA